TTGAGGCTGACTCGGCGTTGGGCAGCTTCCTCGCTGGCCTTGAAAAACTCACGCCCGACCGACCGGGCGGAGGCCCGATCGGCGATCCGCCTCAGGACTGAGCGGTCTGAATGTCCCTCTCCCCGCTGCTCCGTCGGTGTCCGCGCCCAGCGTGGCGACCAGGAAACCCAATCGTTCGGGCCATCCTCGCAGGCCCACAGCAGGAGCTTGCCTCCCGGCTTGACCTCCTGCTTGTCTCCCAGAGGGCGCCCTCCCGAGCCTGCTGTGTAGCAGAAGGGGTGCACCCGCGACCCGCGGAAGGCGGAGCCGCGCTGCCAGCGGGAGTCCAGCAAGCGACGCTCGACCTCCGCGGCTGGCACATCGACCCAGCGGTCCCCCTGGTGAGAGAGGATGACCCTCGCCGGGTCGCGGGGGCTGCCCTTTTGCTCTGCCCCGCAGCGAGACCTGCGCGGGCGTCGCGGCTCCTCATCCTCATCCTCATCGCCGTCCTCGTCGCAGTTGTCTCCGCTGCCGCCGCCACCTCCGCCTCCTCCAGGGCCTGGCGTCAGGCGATTTTCGGCACCTCGAGCAGCTTCTCCTCTCGCCTCTCGCTTCCGCGCCTTGTCCCCCTTCCATCCTCCGCGCTTGCCTCCCCTCTTGCCGTGCTGCTGCTGGGGGTCGCTCGCGTCGATGCCGTCCTCCCCGTCCTCGAGGGTGGGCGCACGGTGTTTTCCTGCGCCTTCGTCACAATGCTGCTCAGGTTTTCCGACCCGCTCCTCGCGGCCAGAGTGAACTGGAGCTCGCAAGTGTTGGTTCGGGGCATGCCGTCAATAGGCACTGAGGAGGGGGCGGAGGAGGAGGAGGAGGAGGAGGAGGAGGAGGAGGAGGAGGAGGAGGAGGAGGAGGAGGAGGAGGAGGAGGAGGAGGAGGAGGAGGGGGAGGAGGAGGAGGAGGAGGAGGAGGGGGAGGAGGAAGAGGAAGAGGATTTGCCCAGGCTGTCCGACCCGCTCTGCGCAGTGCGGCGTCTAAGCCGCTTCCCAAACACACGCCCACCCACAAGCAATGCCCCTCGGCCCCTCTCGCCTCTGCCTGGCCGGGCCTGGTGGGCGAACGAGCAGCAGCGACGCTGCCGTTCGCTCCAGCATGGCTGATGAAGACACGTCCCGAGAAGAAACAAAAACGACGAATTCTACCTGCAACTCCACTCCTTTTCCTGTCCGCCTCTTTTTGCTAGAGCTCTGCAAACAAATGCTATGCGCAGTCTGGCTCAAGCACAAAGCAAGCGGCTCAAGATATCGTGATAGCAAGACGTATGCATTGGAAGTGCAGCTGGCTGCACAGACGGATATTCTGAGCAGCTTGGGTTCTACAAACTTTCTGCCTCCACGGCGTCTTCAGGATCTGGTCTCAAAGCGGCACTGGCAATCTTGAGGTTTATAAGGTCCAACACATTCCCCGACCAACCTACCCGCGAATGTTTGAAAGCATGCTACGGCTATTGGTGCAAGCGGGTCTGACTAACTGGGCGGTCAAGTGTCTCTGTGCGTATGCTGGGATAGATAAGCGCTGTCTCGCCCGACTCCACGCCAGCCGGTGGTGTGGGAACACTAATGTAAGCACGCGTGGCTGGTCGGTATCCGGGGCCCGAGCCTCGACCTGAGCGTGCCAGCCTAGGTGCAACGTACGATTTGAAGGGTCGAGCCCTCGAGTGGCCCTGCGCCACTTTGCACCGAGTAGCCTCGTATTAGCTGGCCGAATGTTGCTAATTCGGCCATGGCGCGCGAAGCGTCAGCATTATGGGTGATGCGACGTTCTGCTTCCTGTCGTATCCACGAGATGGCCGCAGCAAGGGCATGATGGCTACTCTGGGGGATGTACGCGTGGGGGTTGCTAGGCTTACAGTACAGCGATACGTCCAGGATCCCCGAATGGACCCGCCTCCCAATTTTGCGAAACAGGAGGTGCAGAAATACAGCCTTAGACCAGGACGTGGCGAATTTATCTACACAGTGGCATTGATCGAGCGGAGTGCGGGGTATACACGAGGGCTTCGAGTCGTATTAGCTCCCTGTCGGACCCAGTCCATGCAAATAATCCGTCGTCAAGGTATCTCGACCACGACTGTGCCAGGAGCCCATGTGCTCTTGAATGTCACGATATTTTTCGTACTAATAACCTCTTGTTGCTGCAACCTGGAGGGCGCAATCCAATCCCACACAGCTGCCCTATCCAAAACGCTGCTCGTGTCCCCCAGTCTCCCATGGCATTGATCATGGGTCGTATCAGTCTCGTCTTCGTGGGGTGTTGCTTTGGGGCTACAAGCGCTTCGTCTCGATGCCATTCTGCTTGTGCAATTTGTACGCGCCTTGAAACTCGGCTTTGGCCTGTCTGCATTTCTCGCAACAAGGTCGCCCAACCACAAACAATGAAGTATTATAATTATACGATGTGCCCAAACTCCTTGTATGCCGGAGAGGTCTCTCAACCGCGGTCTAAAACGCTCGGATGTTTTAGTCCATTCCGTAAAGGCGGCTCGTTTATTGTCGGGGTCAAGGAGGTGTTGGTAGAAATTCCTGTTGGCCAGGTATGCTGTCGCGCCCAGTCTGGATTCGAAAGCGTTCTGCGCGATCAAGGCCTGGAACTTGTCAGGGGGATCGATCTGTAGAAGGTGCTGCTGCTCTCGTGCATTTGAGCCATGCCTGATGCCCCCCT